CTTTGGTGTTAGCATCAAATAATAGCAATTCCAGAAACTGTCTGAGTTAAAATTTACTTACTTCCAAGCAATCAATGGATTTGCAAACTTCGCTGAGATGTGAATGTGGCAAAAGATCAGACACTCAATGGTGATACTTAAAGAAAATAGAGAATTGAGTCAATGAAGTGTTACCTTTCATTGATATGTTTTACAGTATAAATAGATATATCATCACCTATAATTATGGTAGAAGTTAAAGATAAAAGATACAATTTGATTTACAAGGAAATTGAATAAAAGACAAATCAGAAAAGATTTCTAAATGATCAACTCGTGGATATTCTCCTGGATATGTTATCTTCGTGCTGATTCATGGAAGATTTTGCACTGCAAACATTATGATTTTTTGCTTTTTGATTTGTTGCTTCAATTCTTCCCTTCAAACCGGTCAATGGGAAGGACCAGAGACCGAGTTTGATTCTTAAACTAACAAACATATCTCGAGTCAATGGCTTGGTAAAAATATCATCAATTTGTGAGGAAGATGGAACAAAACGAGTTACGATAGAACCAAGAGCAACCTTTTCTCGAACAAAATGATAATCGATCTCAATGTGCTTTGTTCGAGCATGAAAAACAGGATTAGTTGTGAGATGTAATGCTGACATATTGTTTGAGAAAAGTAACGAAGGTTGATGTTGGTAGATCCCAATGTCACGTAGTATGTATGAAATCCAAGTGAGTTCAGCAGCTACGGAAGCAAGAGCCTGATATTCAGCTTCAGCTGTGGAGCGGGCCACAGTAAGTTGTTTCTTGTCACACAATGAAATACAACTTGAGCCAAGAAAAGTACAATAACCAGTGGTGGAACGTCGAGTGAGTTTGCACCCTGCCCATTCTACATCGGCAAAGCCAAATAATTGGTGAGACCTGCGAGACAAAATACGAAGCCCAAGGTGTAAAATACCGCGACCATATCACAGAATACATTTTACCATCTGATAATGAGCAACAGTTGGGGCATGCATATGTTGGCAAACTATGTTGATCGCAAGCGAGAGATCTGAACGAGTGAGAGTAAGGTATTGAAGAGCGCTTACAATACTTCGAAAATGGGATGGATCAGCATAGGGCTTATCACCATGTTTGAGTGGTGGTTGCTTGGTAGCTATTGGAGTAGCAATCGGCTTACATTGCGCCATTGATGCTTGATTCAAAAGGTCCAAGGCATATTTTTGTTGTGAGAGTAAGAGTCCATCAGTGGAGTGATTGACTTCAATACTCAAGAAATAATAAAGAATGCCAAGGTCTTTCATGGAAAACACTTGACCAAGTTCCTACACAAGATGGTTTAGTAATTTCGAAGAATCACTGGTGAGGACTATATCATCCGCATAGAGCAATAGAATAATAATATGACCATGATGACGATAAACAAATAGTGATGGATAAGCTGTGCTGCAGAAGAATCCATATTCAAAAAGAAAATTACTGAATTTGTCGAACCATTTCATGGGAGCTTGTTTGAGGCCATATAGCGCACGCCGAAGTAATCAAACATGGTCAGGATGAAATGAATCACGAAAACCCGGTGGTTGTTCCATATAGACAGGAACATCAAGATCGCCGTGTAGGAAGGCGTTCTTAACATCTAATTGGCGAATTTCCCAATTCTGAACAGTAGAAACTGATAAGACAATGTGAATTGTGGCTTGTTTGACCACTGGACTAAAAGTTTCTAGAAAGTCAACATCCTCCTCTTGATGAAAGCCTTTTGCAACAAATCGGGCTTTCAATCGGTCAAGTGAACCATCGGCATGTAGTTTTGTTTTGTACACCCATTACATCCAACCACATTCATCGACGGATGACGGGGAACTAGTTCCCATGTTCTGTTGATTGCAAGAGCATCCAACTCCTCAAGCATAGCAGCTTTCCAACCAGGGTGCTTTAAAGCTAAATGGACAGTGTATGGTTCGGGAGAGATGGATGATACTGCTATATTGACATACCTGGTGTTTGGCTTTGAGACCCCAGCCTTTGAACGTGTAACCATGGGATGTATTGAGGATGTGGAAGCTTCGGATTGAGATTGAAGTAAAGATGCACGCTCTGCTGGTTGTGCCACATGGTTAGAGATAGTAGTAGATGAAGCATTTGAGTTCGGTTCTATCTCAGCAAACAGACGTGCATGTTCGCTTGCAGAATCAAGATCTGTTGGTGAACAACCATTTTGACAAACTTCTGGACTGGGTTTGGGCATAGTCAAATGATCACCAGAAGCTTTTGTTTGTGATGAGGTTAAAATTGAATTCCATCGCAACAACTCCCCCTCAGTCATAGCAGTCACCTGAGAAGAAGAGGCAAAAGGAAAATAATGCTCATAAAAAACAACATGTCGAGATATGTAAACACGACCGGTAGATTGATAAAGACAACGACATCTTTTGTGCTTTTCACTGTATCCCAAAAATACACATGGCAAAGAGCGCTTGTCAAATTTGTTCATCGTGTAGTTGCGTAAATATGGATAACAGCGAGAGCCAAACACTCGGAGTAATGAGTAATCAGGGCTCTTCTTGAATAAGACCGAGTATGGACTTCGATTGCCTAAAGCAGTTGAAGGAAGCCGATTTATCAAATAATTCGTTGTTGTAAATGCTTCCACCCAACAGTTGAGTGGCATAGATGCCTCAAATAATGTAGCAAGTCCGAGTTTAACAATGTGTCAATGTTTCCTCTTAGCAACACTGTTTTGTTCTAGCGTACCTGGACATGAGAGTTGTTGTTGTATGCCGCATTCATGAAGATGCGTGAGAAAATTATTGCTTGTGAATTCACCTCCTCCATCAGATTGAAAAACTTTAATTTTCTTATCAAACTGATTTTCAACTAATTTCTGAAAAGATAGGAAAATCTCTTAGAAATATTACTTTTGCTTCAACGGATACAACCAACAGTATCGAGAGAAATCATCAATAAGTACCACATAATATCAAAAATTTTGCATAGAAGGATTGGGCTCGGTCCCCAAAGATCACAATGTATTTTCTCCAATGGATGGGAACATCAAGAATCTGATAAAGAAAATGGCAATCTTGAACTTTTACTAATTTGACAACTTGTACATAAAGTGCCAGTGGATTTATTTATTGAAATCAAATTATCAGACCGCAAAAGCTGTAAAATACGACTATTTGGATGGCCTACTCTACGATGCCACGTAAATTCATCAGCAATATTGTTTCTCCGAGAAAAGAACGCCATGGAATGCTGGTCTTTATTGGTATATAATCCTTGATGATTAGTTCTCGTCAACAATACCCGGTGTGTCCCGGAGTCCTTGATAGAAAAATCAGAGGCATCAAACTCAAAATAGCAAGGATAATCTCTCGTCAATTGAGAGACGAATAATAGATTTGTCTTAATTTGTGAAACGACCAAAACATTATTAAGAGAAAACTGACTGGCCTTATTGCCAAATTGACCAGTCCCAACGTGAGTAATCGACAGTGATGTACCATTCCCAACTATCACATTATCATGGCCATGGTAAGGACGTTCACAAGATTACATGGATTATCAGTCATATGAGTATTAGCACCGGTGTCTGGATGCCATTCTTCATCTTGTGAGTTTGAGATATGAAGTGCAGCTAGGCCATGGGGTATATTAATACTCTGATAACTGTTATCAAAACGATACCAGCAATTCAATGCATCATGCCCCTTCTTCTTACAAATCTGACAGATGAGAGATGGCACTCCTAAGTTTGAATTTGACGATGTACCAACGGTTTTGGTTTGTTGAGTAGTATAATAATTTCCTGAAAATCGCCGACCATTTTGGTTTGTTTGAGAAAAGCCACGACCCCTAGAATAAATATGGGTCCTCTACCCCTTCCTCTGGGGTTGTTTTTGTAGCCACCATTATGTCGCTGCGAGATAAACGCCATTGAACTGTTTGGGAGCATGGTTGAAGTGCGCTTGTTTCGTAACTCATAACTTTGAAGTTGTGCAACCACTTCAGCATGAGATAGAAGAGGAGACCTGAACATAGTCGTTTTGAACGACTCATAGCTATCATCAAGTCCTTCAAGTAATCTGAAGACTTTATTAGCATCCGACACAGGTTTAACAATGGAATGCAATTGATCGCAAATAGATTTAAAGTCACGAAGATAAACAGATAAAGGCTTATTTTCTTTCCTGATGTGTTGAAGTTGTCCAAGGAGATCAAGTTCTCGAGTCATTGAGCTTTGCTTGAAATGATCGGTGAGAGCCTTCCACACTTCTACGCTGTTTGAAGTCCAACAGCATGTCGGAGAACCTCTTCTAAGAGTGTGCTCACGATCCAACACTTTACAAGGCGGTCACTACGCACCCATGATGTATATTATGGATTACTGACTTCGGTTGAATTCTCCGATGTCTGAGTCTGCGGTGGTGCAACTATCTCTCCGGTAAGAAAACCAAGTAGGTCCTGACTTTCAATCAGAGACAATACCTGTGTCTCCCAAAGCAAAAAGTTGTTTTCATTGAGCTTCAATGTAACAAAATTTGCCACATTGATGTTTGAAGGAAATGGAAATCTCGGGTTTGACGTAATTGTATCAATTTTTTTTTGACAAGAAAAGAGCAGTGTGCCCTCGCGTGGCTCTAATACCATAAAGAAAATAGAGAATTGAGTCGATGAAGCATTACCTTTCATTGATATGTTTTACAGTATAAATAGAGATATCATCACCTATAATTATGGTAGAAGTTAAAGATAAAAGATACAATTTGATTTACAAGGAAATTGAATAAAAGACAAATCAAAAAAGATTTCTAAATGATCAACTCGTGGATATTCTCCTTGATATGTTATCTTCGTGCTAATTCGTGGAAGATTCTGCACTGCAAATATTATGATTTTTTGCTTTTTGATTTGTTGCTTCAATAATATTCACAGACATTCCACGGCGACATCTTTCATTACTGACGTGACTATTTTCTTTGAAGTCTAAATAGCAGGAGTGCGTGCTCTTCATCTTTGATCTTATTACTTCAATAGATAAAGGTTGTTCAACACCTTCTCCACCAAGTGCACAACCTGCTTGTTCTCCATCAATCTAGCTCAAATTTACATATCCATCTCTCATATATTCTGTATATTCTATAGTATATTGAAAACTAGTCTTACGTATGGGACACTAATACACAGTTCGACAAACATATGATGCGCCTCTCTCTGTAGGATAAGTGGAGGAAGTTTTACAGAAGTTAGGAGTCCAAATCTCTTCCCAAAGCTTCAGCAACTGTTTTTACTGCTCAGAATCAGTACGCATTGCACTCAAGAACACAGTAATCGCTGTGCGGCATTTCCTCGTACTTAGAATTTCCGAGCAGGGGGGCGACATCGAACTTGTGTCGGGATTTCTTCTCAACATCATAAAGCGGATTGCTACATTTGAGCAGCACTTGCAGTACCTCCTTCATTGTAGGCCTCATGGAAGGCAGCGTCGCAGTGCAAAAGATGCCGAGCTTAAAGACATTGCTTATTCCACCTAGGTTCAAGTCGTTGTTGATCCCCTCATCTATGGCATCGGACATCGGCTTGCCATCTTGGATGTGATGCCATGCCCAATCAGCGAGGCACATGTCTTCGGTCCCATCGTTAGCCTCCCTCCCGGTCGTCAGTTCCAAGAGAACGACTCCAAAGCTATAAACATCGATCTTCTCGTTAACTCTTGTTGTATGAGCATACTCTGTTATTCAACAACAAAAAGGCAAGACATACTAAATATTCTTGCTGGTAGGATATGAGGAAGGTGAACTTGCATAGCTGAAATGAACTCGTTTTAAGTGAATAGACAAACCTGGTGCAAGATAGCCGAAAGAACCGGCAACACCTGTCATCGTAACTGCTTCTCCGTGCTTGACCAGCATCCTTGCAAGACCAAAATCAGCAATTTTTGCGTTGAACTCGGAGTCTAAGAGAATATTGCTTGATTTTATGTCTCGGTGGATGATGGGTGGTGAACAATCATTGTGCATATAGCAAAGTCCTTTAGCGGCTCCTAGCGCAATCTGTAACCTTTTGGGCCAATCCAAGAATATATTGTTGGCTACACCCAAGGCCGATGACGATCTTGTCGTCTTGTGAAGCCAATGGTCCAAGCTGTGATTTTCCATGTACTCGTACACTACGAGTTTCGAGTTCTCACAAGAAATACAGCACAGTAATTTGATAATGTTCAGATGCCTTATGTTCCCAAGTATCTCCACTTCTGCTAAGAATTGCTTCTCTAGCATCTCGTCCAATTTTCGGTTATTTGAAATCCGTTTGACCGCGACGGCATCACCAGAACGATTCACAATAATTCTGTATACTTTTCCTGATCCACCACTTCCAATCACATTATGCTCCTTCAATCCCGACAGAACATCCGATTCTGTAAAATTCAAACTTTGGAATGGGGTCAGTTTCAGAGTTGAATCAAATCCGTATCTCTTCTTTCTGGAAGCTCTGATAGTGAATACCGCCGCCAACAAAATGAACATCGCCGCAGCGATGGCCAAGACCACAATCAAGGTGAGATTGGTCGGCGAGCTTTTGCTCGATCTACGGGATTGGGAATTGCAGACATTGAGCCTCATGAACGAATTGGATGCACAGAGGCCAGGGTTGTTCAGGAAACTGGAGTCATACGCAGTGTTCTCTAACTCGTCTGGGATTCGTCCACTGAGGCGATTGGAGGATAAATTGAGAAGGTTCAGCTTCAGCTGGCCGATTTCAGGAGGAATCGAGCCAGACAGTTGGTTTTCAGACAGGTCCAACTGCGTGAGTACCGGTAGAAGACCGATTTTGCTGGGAATCGGTCCCACCAATCGATTGTGACTAACATTCAGAGTGCTCAAGGAGTTCCACGAAACAATAGCTGTGGGAAGATTCCCAGAGAGATCATTCTGACCTAGCAAAAGAGTTGTCAGAGAAGGAAGCTCGGTTAATTCAGTCGGAACGATGCCACTGAGGAGGTTATTACTGGCATCAAACACCACCAAGTTCCTCCATGATGACACTATGCTAGGAATCTTGCCGGAGAATTTGTTGTTGCTCATCTCAATCCGAGTGAGGTTGGGGGACAGCTCCCTGGGAAGCATGCCAATTAATCCGTTACCACTCAAAATCAAAGTCCTCAAGTTCGGTGACGTCCAGAGTCCTCCAGGCACATTGCCTGTGAATCCATTGTTGTTCAATCTAATGGCAGACAAAGAACTGCAATTTCCAAGTGACTCCGGCAACTCCCCACTGAGATTGTTGTCCATAGCCGCCAACCCGAACAGCGCGCTGCTGCGGCACAGTTGTTCCGGCAACGTACCAGTCAAGTTGTTGAAGGCCACTTCGAACCTTGTGAGTGCAGAAAACTTGCCGAAGTCCGGGGGGATCATTCCTAATAAACTGTTGTTGGACAGCCTGACATCGCTCAAAGCGGGAAGACGCCCGATTCCTTCCGGGATTCCACCAGACAATTGATTGAACTCTAAATTCAAGCTGGATAGATTCTTGAGCTTCCCGAAATCTTCAGGTATGTTCCCCGTCAAATTATTATCTGACAGATCGATCACTCTCAGGTTGTCCGCGCTGACTGCCTGAGGGATCGACCCAGACACATTGGTCGTGTACACGTACAACTCCCTTAAGTTCCTCAGAGTGAAAATACTGCCCGGGATCTCTCCGGTCAAGCGATTCATCCCCAAATCCAAGTGCTCAAGAGCCTCCATATCGCCGACTGTCTCCAGGATTCCACCAAACAGGTTCGTCTGCGCCATCGAGAAGAACCGCAGCTTCTTCAAGGCAGTGAAGTTCTGCGGTAGCTGCGACGGCGCGAACTTGTCGTTGTATTCAAGCCTCAGTTCTTCAAGATTGGTGAGGCTAAAAATCTCTTTAGGGTAAGTGCCGTTGTACTCGGACTGGTAAAGGTGAAGGATCCTCAGCCTCCGCAGCCTCGCGATCGACACTGGGACTTCAAACGAGAAGCTGTTGGCGGCGAGAATCAGGACCTGAAGATCGGCCATGCGGTCAATATCGGATGGAATAGGACCTTCGAAGTAATTCTGGGACAGGTCGAGGTACACGAGCTTGGAACAGTTGTAGAGAACTGTTGGAAACTCTCCAGGAATATTGTTGTTGGAGACATTGAGCTTGGTCAGATTCTTGAGGTCGCAGATGAATGGGGGGATCGAATAATTTATGTTCAGGAATACAAGATTGAGCTCGGTGATCGAGCCATTTTGGCATGTGATCTCGGGCCATGTGCAGTGGGAGGATGAATTGGAGGCGACCCAGTGGGCAAGGGAAGATGGGTCTTGCCAGGATTGCCTCAGCTTCAACAGGACTTGCTGTTCTTGATCTTGGATTTGAGACTCTGCAACAGGGAAGAGGGAGCAGAGGAAGACGAGACAAGGAATGCATAAGAGGAAGAAGATGGGAATATGAGGCAGCGATGAGGTTAGTCTCGGCATAATTGAAGGTCATTCAGTCTTTTTTCGGTTAGAGAGACCCTCCGGTGTTGGAAATAGAGATCTATCAGCTCAACATGAAGCAAAACGTGATAGTTTGCTTTTGTTTATTGCTCGTGAGGAACCCCCAGGTTTTTAACCTTGTTTCAAAGTGCTAGAATTTGGTGGATCCTCAGATGATGGGTGTGAACGAATTTGTTCCCTTTCGTTCTTTTCGATTTTGCTCTGCTCATGTACATCTCAGTCAACGGATGAAAGAGGGAAGAATCAAAGAGCCAATGATATTTTCCTTATCTCAACATTCCTCTGGAATACACTTCAGAGAGCACCCAGATACCTCTGATTACTGTGGTTTTATAACCAATAAAAGCCGGCAAAACCAGATTTTCCAGATCAGTTTAACGGTAAACCAGAGCACGACAAGTTTGTTCCTCTGCAGAAGGCAAAAATGTTGCTAGGTTTACACGTTCCTCCTTTCAACATCAGCATAAGCAGAGCAAGTAGGGGAGAAGAAAATGCATGTTATGAATTAGGGCAAAGATTGAAATTTGACGGACTTTATTAGGTGGCCACTATTCTGATGTATATTCCAAGCACAACACAGCTTTCACATATCAATTTCAACTCCCCTCGAACCCTTGATAGGATTAGTATTATAATTACATGTACCGAGTATCTGTGTGTTCACATCCGTGGATCGTGACCTATCTCGACTCACTCTTTTTCATTCCAAGAAGGGAAAAGAAATTATATTTACCTGAGAGTAACCACTACAACATATGCTATCATACCACATCAGTTATTTAGATTCACAAAATAAATTGAAAAGTATATTGTATATCATTCGGGTGAATTAGAGAAACATTGAGAACCCTATACCGAATCCCACTGAAAACACAAGTTTCCGTATAACCATTATATCATTGCTGGTTTTGACCGTCGCATCACTTGTAAGTTAAGTCTGTATGATATTTTCACGATATATACTAGTCTCTCGTCTCGCGGGAATCATAATCCATGTGCTTGTAACCTCAATCACCAGTAGAGGTAGGTATACCTCCACGTGAGCTCTTGACCCTGCCAAAATCATTAAAAACGGGGAGTGCGTGATTCCCTGCCCTACACACACCTTTGAGGATATTAACGGGAACAACTAGAAGCCCTCCAACTTTGAGCGTTGACCGGAAAATTCTTTGGTTTGGAAACAAAGAATTGGAAAATGCTGCTAAAGCCAGCATGACGGTGGAGGACTTTGACTTTGCTTGCCCATCCCTTCATGCTAAGATGTAGATTAGCTAACAACAATGATTTCTACTTTGTGCTCTTCCCAGACAATCAACCAATCAGGAGTAAATCTAATTTAAAATTAAGATAAGCAAGGCAGAATTATAAAATTTTGGCATGAAATATATCAAGTTGCTCGATATGATTGTAGTTTTTATCGAGAATTTTGCAAATCGATCCATCGTTAGATAGTAGTGTGTGTGAAAATTGAGAACTCTTCTTGAGACTCATTGAAGATAGTTATACGTAACACGCAAAATCCCATTCGTCCATGGAGTTATGATTAGATATTTGACACTTTTACTATTTGTTTTTGGTGGAGGAAATTAGAAATTAAGACAACAACATGTGAGCAGGTCTAACCAAATGTAGCTAATCTATCATCTATCCCTTTATATGACATAGCGAGTACTTCAATCACGCATACACTCAACATGTAGTAATGACTTAATAATGTCTAGCAAAGGTCTCTTTTCGGGCTTTTTGTGATATTAACCCTAATATGAAACTTGACTCGCTAAAAAGAAGGTAAGAGAAAAAAGAGTCAATCATCAAAGGAGAGAACCGTTTTAATTGAGTTAAACCCAACACATACGACAGGACTTAGTATATTTTGGTTATGTTTTTCTCCCTCCCTTCCTTTTTCTTAGGTGCGTCATGCTCAATGTCATCCTTTGACCTTAGCTAATAGGGTATGCTAAGGATGACATTAGCTAAGGATGACAGAGAGATATTTACAAATATCTTGAAATTGCTTTCTTATGATTAGGTTTTGCATTGAAATTAATTGAGATTAAAGATTCTTTAAAATTGTTTTCCTATGATCAAGTCTTGCTAAGAAAGTGATAATGAGATGCTGATGTTTTTCGAGGCGTGAAGTTCTAATTCCTTCACGGGCTAATACCATTGAAAATCTCAGACTAGTACTCCATGACACATTCGTCTCAAACTAGTTTTCGTACCATAAAAAACTCTTGAGTAGGACCTCTATGATACATTTACCCCCAAATTAATTTTTGCCTCGTGAAAAATCCCAAATTGGTACCCTTGACCCAAATCTACCTTCCGTTAAAAAACATACATGTCAACACACATGGATTTCCCATGTTGGATCTATCTTACAATCGCCTACCAAGCATGATCCGTCTTATAGTCGTCTGACGTGTGTCGACATGTATGCAATTTAACAGGATTATTGAACAAAATATCAATCGATGGTACATTTGGGTCAGGATACCAATTTGAGATTTTTAATAATAACTCAAGGTAGCTCACTTTTGGAATTGCAACTGAGGAAGACTGTCAAATAAAATCCTGTATACGAGGACATTCTCGGAGCCAGAAGGAATGTTAAGCAAAAATTGATATAATTTATAAAAAGAGATGTAATTGGGTTGCAGAAATTGTTGCATAACATAATGAAGCTCTAAAACTTCTGAAAAATATGTAGTCAAGGGGTGTCTACGAAGTCCGTTTGTTCTGAGCGATCGCATGAACAATTTGTACTCATTTCTGATTTGACTATTATTTTTACTCGAGCAGAAAAAACAAGTCTTTGTTTTTTTTTTTTTGGGTAAAGAAAAAAAAAAAACAAGTCTTTGTCCGTTAGTCTTTAATGAAAAAGAAGTCTTTGTTGTTTAGATTAACGTATGGTGCTTGGAGTTGTTGCAACCCACTAACGTTTCTTGCGTTCCCTAGATGGGCAAGACAACGACCTGAATGATTCTGATTGATTCCTGTTGGTCCTAATGATTCTTTGTAATGTCCGAGTCAAATGGCCAACCTTCGAATCTTAGGCATGCCCTCCTATTCTCCAATGTCACAGCTTTTGATTAGTTTCCTGATGTTCTGATGTAGAACAGTTAGCCTGTGATTATCTTGAAGAATGTGATTGCCGTAATAGCCGGATATCTAGGCAGTTTTTCTGATTAGGCAGTTTTTTTTACTTTAGGCAATTTCGAATTATCAATATTTCGTTTGATTTTATTAGATAAGATTAGATTTGATTTGCTTTGATGTTATCTTCATTAATTCGGATATCTTTAGGAGTCCTATCATTATAAAAGGACGTCCAGCTTTGTATTCAGATATTATGAAATTGAATTGAATTCCAGTCGAATCGTGGAAGAGTTTTCCAAGTTATCGCTTCTATCTGCGTCATGTTCGCCTTCTGGATGATGAGCAAATTGGCCTTTGGTGGAGCTGAGTGCAAGCGCAAATTTTCCACAGCGTGATCTGGCAACGACGGGTCGAGCCTTCTAGATGAGCGAAGGAAGATAAAACTTGGTTAGGTCGAGCCCACATGATGGAACTGAACCAATCCTTATTGCTAGTTCCAGCACATCCTGAGGTCCGTGATTGATGGTCCTAATGAGCCCGACGCAAGGAAGGAATTCATCTATGACCATATCAGACGCTTGGCTTCTATGTTCTGGAAATTTACTAATTCGATAGTAGGGAGTTATCGGCGCAAAGTTGCCGACACTTTTAGGAATCTGCCAGCATGTATTACATATGTAAATATCATCGACACACTTGGACATGCTTAGTTAAACATGTAAATGTATTACCCGTGTCAACACAACACGCTTAAATGTATTTCGAGACATTGATATATGACAGATACTGAGCATCTAGTGTAAACTAAAGTTAAAAAACCCAGCAAAGACCAAAGAACGTATCTACTCTCTTACATGCAGTATCAATTAATGCGCTCGTCATCCAAGAATGCGTTTTGGAGCCCCAGCAACCATGCTTTCGTACTAGTCAAGATAGTTGGGATTCCAATGTCCAACCGCAGTAGAGTCGCAGAGAACAGGAGTGTTGGATTACGCATTTCAGATACGGCAGCAACAAATTCATTGCTAAAGCTGGGTGATCATAATATCGTTCGTCTAAGATTACCATTAATCTGACATGATTCATATAACGAATCCATCTCTGGCTGAAGTTACCAGTGGTATCTGAACTAATTTCAGATTCGAGAGTTGATATTCTGTCTCAACTAACAGCAGTTATGTATCCAACTATCGGTATTCAGCAATTTACTTTAATTCAGTCGCAAGTGGAGGTTGAAACGATAAGTAATTCCACTAAGAGAGTTCTTTCTGGACATTAGAATATAAATTCCTATGAGAGGTTGCACTAAAGAACGAGTCTGAAAAAATTGATTTGAGTATCGAAGATTGTATATAGCACGGTCAAATACAGTCAAAACAAATCATTAACCAGAAAAGATAAGATTCCACTAGCTCATTGATGTGAGAGGGAGAGAGAGGATATCATCATAGACTCTGGAGAAGATTATCACAGACAGAAACAAAGCCTATGGCGTGCTTCAAGCACCTGTGGACACACGTAACAGAGGGACTCTTGTTTACTGCTCCTAATGCTTCTGTGGCAAACTTATTTTGACAAACCAAAAAGTTATATCAAAAGACATCAAATACTTCATCTACATGACTAAAAGCATTTGCCTTAGAGTTCCACAGATGTTGAATACTTCGATTCAAGCAACTCTAATTGGAGCTTTGTCACGAGCAACGAAGAAGAATTAGATATAGAAGAGGCTGTTAGTAGGGAAAGCACTGTGCAGTATGATGAAACCACAGAGATACATCATTTTGCATTAAATATGGTAGTAGATGGCCCTAAACAATTTAAGGAAGCTATCAACAAATATGCAACCACCAGAAGAGTTAATATTGATTTTATTAAGAATGACAAGGTGAGACTAAAGACAAAACGTAAGGCTATATATGCAGCTAGAGATGACAAGACAGGCTTGTTTCCAGTAAAAACTTTCAAGAATGAGCACATATATGCACTTGGTCTTTCCAAGTGAGGAGCTTTACATCTAAGTACAGGCAAAACATTATCTAAGCTTGTGGAGGACAGTTCCTTCAATGAAGTCATTGAAGGAATTCCAGAAAATTGTGCGAGAGCAGATGAGCTTAGATGTAGCCAGTGCTGAAGGACTAAGCTGATGGTAATCAAAAAACTAAATGGGATGTACTCCTATGAGTTCAACATGTTGTGGAATTATTG